GTCAATTTGGAATATTGAGTTGAACGCTTCTGATGTATGGAAGCTCATTTTCTGAGAATTTTACGTCATCACTTTCTCTCTGAGCTTCTGTTTGTGTTTTACTCACATGAAATTAAATCTTGTGTTCGGAGAATTTGATGGATGCAGAAGAGTGAGTAATTTAATACAGCTTTGATGAGGATTTTTGAATTTTGAGAAATTTTAAATCATTTTTGTTCAAGATTGAATGAAAAGTTCAAAGAAATTTTTAAGTAAAAAGTTTTCTCAGTAAAGACTTTTAAATGAGAATGAAAAAGTTTATAAGGTTTTGGATGTCATTAATTGAAATTTTTTAAGTTTTTAAAGGCTTTTTACTATTTAAATTCTAATGTCGCTAACGATGTGGAATTGATCAACTTACTTATTACTATTTTTGATCATATTTGATCAGTTTCACACCCTTGATAGTTGCAGATTCAATAGTAGGTTGTTATGACCATTTCTGATAAGTTTGATCAATTTCTCAGCATTACGATGAATGAAATGTCTTCAATTTGATAAGGTTTTTCAACTACATAATCCCTAAACTTCAAAACCCTCTTCGACAAATTTATAAACTACGCCTTTGCATAAAACATAACCATTCATTAACTCAACCATTTTAAGTACAAACTGAAGCCTCACAAAGCCATCCATTCATTTTCATAAAAATCAAGCACAAACATTTTTAACTCTGAACATGAAATACTTCTTGCTTGTCGTTTGCTTTGTTTTATTGTTGTTTGCTTAAGGCTGCAGAGAGAGTTTGTAATATAGAATTTTTTTCCATCCAGCCATGACCATGATGAACTAAAGCTTTTCATTTTATAAAAATTATTTTTCTCTCTTTTTAAATCTACTGCTACAAATTTAAAGACTGCAGATGAGGATGTAAAAAAATTGAGTAAATTGAATTGCTAAAATAAACAGGAAGGGTAGTGTGGGGATTATCTGCAAGTGATGTGCATTAAAAAATGTGAATTTTACTTAAACTTGCTGTAACGAAGCTGCAAATAAGGAAAGAGCTAAGTTTGAATTTTTCTAATGTGTTTTCTGATATCACGGACTTACCCAGGTATGATCAAAGGATGAACTAAGGAGAGTTACAGTTTTTCGAGGCAATTTCTTCATTTTGTAGGTTTTTTTGAGTTTCAAAACTCACCTCATAATGCCTGCATATGACTCTTCCAGACTCCATCTTCAAATCACTTATGAACAACTTCCAATTCAAAGGAGTTCTGTTTCTCATCCAGCTCAATTTTTCCTTACATTCACAGCAAATTAAATTTCTGTTTTTACTTTTTCTTCTTCTTAAAACTTTTTCTTTCCATCCTCATCCATACAGCCAAAAAGTTTTATTGTTATAATGCTCAATTTTTTTAGTGGATATAACAGTCTGCAATGTATAAAATTTCAATGACTGAGCAGATTGTTTACAAAAGTCTAAAACTTTTTTTTCTCCCTTTTTTTTCTTCGTCTCAAAACATGGATACAAAGAAAGCGAAAATGTGCAACATACAAGAAGAATTGAAACATTTTGGACATAGTTTGCAAACAATGAGGAAGAAAAGAACTTTCTTTTCATGCCTTGATTTCTTTTTTTCTCCGAAATTGAATTTTGATTATATTTTTTCTCGAAACGAATAAGGGTGGAAAGAAAATATATTCAATGAACTGTGTATGAGAGTGGCTTAACAATAAACGAACAAAACTTGAATTTGTTGTCAGATGAGTGCATTTTTGTGTTCGAATTGCTTACTTAGAAGGAGAAGGAATTTGAGATATTGTGAAAGAAGTTGACATTGGATGACTGAAGAATTTTCGATTAGCTTTGATTCTGTTAAGAAAAGTTTTATATTAAAATGATTATGTTTGTTCATCACAATGGCATTTCGTTAAGGATTAGTGTTAAATGGATAGAATTTGAAGTGAGGATGGACTATTTGAATAATTTATGTACATTTTAATTTTTCTTAATTTAAATAGATGATTTTCTTAAACAAATATTCCCGTCATATATCGATTAACTCAGGTAAAGCTGTAAGAATCAAAAGCGAAGAATGTCAAATTTGCCATTGATTTCATATTCTAATATTGGTTTCTAGGGCTTAATTTTAGCTAAACTTGATTTATTCTGTTGAGACTTGAACCCAGGATTCTGTCGTAACTGATGCAAAACTTCAGTAAGAACCAATTCATTCAATTATTGTGCTACTTCAGCTTATATTTTGAATCTTGCACAACTGTTATTTAAAAGTAGAAAAGATGCTTCCTTTCATTTGGGACGCAAAAACTTTCTTTTCCTAATTTAAAATTCCATTCAGACCACAAAAGGCATTTACATGTCAAAATCTTTTTTTTTCCTTTCCTGAAAATGCGCCTGAATATTCCGCATCATTGACTTAATTACTTGTTCCGCCTTACTTCTTTTCTTTTATTTCAATTTTAAGTCAATTTTAAATTCCATTCACAATTTTCTTGTTTTTGTTCGCCCTCATTTTGCACATTGAAAGTTAAAGCTAGTTTACTGAATAAATCATTGAGCAAATTACTGAACAATGAAGCAAGGACAGAGTAGGTGGGAAAGAAATTTGTGGATGACATTTTAAAAGTAAAGAGTTATCTTGATTTTATGTCAATTGTTGGATGGGAAAATAAGGTTGATGATCGCATTTACGTGTCAAGATTTCCCTCATCATCCTACTATGTGAATAGCTGCTGAAATACTACACGTAATGCTTGATAGTGCGGATGAATGAGGAAAGGATTATGATGAAAGCATGTGAGAATCTACAAATACTGGATTTATACTATAAAGTGAACATTAAAGAACTGAAAATGAAATTTAGATCACAGTGATGAAGTAAGTTGACTAACCTTAATAATGTGATCGTCCTGTAATCTGATGAATGATGAAAGTATCCATCCTTTTTTTACTAGGTCAGAAATATGATGAGTTGTGGGTTTCCATTCTTTTTGAATAAATTTACATTCAATTGACCATTCTCATCAATCATTGAATATCGTTACGTATTTTTCTGGGTTAAATTCTAAAGAAATTGAAGCTTGTTTCGATGCAGCGATACGAAATGGTTCTTAGATAGCTCACAAAGGCATTGAACTACTTACCAATAATTGGTAAGCTATAATGTGGATCTTAAATTGGTTTCAAGTACACTATAAGAGGTTAAGGTCAGAAAGGAGGTTTAAAAGTAGTCGCCAGCTCTAAGACAAATCATCACATGACGTTCACGCATTTCCGATCCGTTGAAAGTTGTCTCTCATTACAAAAACAACTCCAAGATCCAAGAAAAGGAATTATGATAATCATAAGTAGTCCACAGACTTCACACAATATTCTATCTTCATGTTTTTATTAAACAACGTCCCAAAAGAGTCAAAAAGTTTATTTCCACGAAAACTCCAGTTAATAAAATGAAGAATGTCGCGTAGCTTATTCAGTACCTCTTCCCAAAAGAAGCGCATTGGAAATTTAATTTACTCACTTCTTCCATCTTTTATTTCTGAGTTTACAAATTGAATTTCAAAGCTTTTTTTCGTTGTTGTGAGTTTAAGGGTTTTCAGTAAATTGAGGCAGACGTTGCTCTTAGAAACATTATTGTTAATGGAAAAATGAAGCCTATGAGTTTAGATGACAACGGAGATAGAATAAATTTGTCATGTGAATTGTTTTGTTGAAAGTTTTGTTTTAAAAAATTTTCGATTAAGCTTTGAAAATGGATGAGAAGCACATACCTTAAAATTTATGTTTATCAATTTTTTAAGACAATATTGACGCATAGAATCAGTACATTATATATAAGGTATACATTCTAATAACAATCAAGGAAATCCGTTACTGCCAAAACCTTTATTGATCAATAAAATAAAGATTACAAGACAGGAATAATTTTGAAAATTAATCTCAATGTCAATTATAAAGAAAATCTCATAAATTCTGCTGTTTTTATGACTTTCAAGGTCCATTCAATTTTTCTTGTCAGCCATCAAGAGTGCAATTTGTTGTTTTTTTTTCTGTGACGATCTCTTCCAATAAAGCTTAAAATTTGTAAGCTCTTTAAAAAATAATGTTCTTAGCTTGGGGTTGCTGAAATGTCGACATTTTTTTTATTTTCTAAGTATTAAGTTTTATGTCTTAGATTCTGAGAATTTAGGCTTAGTTCTTATCAGACAAGTTCAAGTCAACGCTTATCTTTGTTTTTGCCTTTTTATTGAGATAATAAAGTATGTAATTATATAAAATAATTGGGGTTAATTTGCTAATAAGGTCTATCATTCAATTAGGTTCGAGAAGATATCCATTACTATTCTAGATCAAGCTTCAAATAAGTTTTAATAATTTTATGATTTTCTTTGCTAATCGAAGTCAAATTTTGTAAAAACTTTAAGCATATTGATTTTTAATTTCTGAATACAGTGCCTCTTGAAGCCCTTGAAACTGGTCTCTGCATTAAACATTATTCAACCAACATCTTAAGTGAAAATCCCGCTCTTTATCGATAACTAATGATATATGTTCATATAAGCGCTATATTCGGATAAGAGACAGTTTAAGTAAATATTTAAGACCGAGTGCTACATCCCAGGATTGATTATTTTAGAATTATAAGAATGTGTTTGTAAGTTTGTTTGAAATGGATTTTAAAATTGACAACAAATCCATTTAAAACTAGTAATTTATGATTTCGCACACAAACGTTTTGATAAAACATTAATAGTTCGTAATATAAACGATATCGTTTGCAACACAGATAAGAATTCTAATCAGTTCCTACTCGGGCTATAAAATGACAAATCATTCTAATCGAAAATTCGATCAAATCGAAAATAAGTTAAGCTAGACATCATAACAGTTCAAGTTGCCTTAAACAAACGCAGGGAACTAAAATTTTGTGAGTTTTGAAAGTTTCTATACATATTAAAGTTTAAGGTTTCAATTTGATTTTAGAAATAGATTTAAAATGAGTGATGAAGATGTGGTCCGTGATATGAGAACCAATACAAATGTTAATACAGCCACAGCTAATAAAAGGCTAAGCATAGAACAAGAACGCATGAAAAATGTGAAATCTGGAAGTCAAGGTCAATCTAAAACTTCCTCATCGTCAAATCAAAGCGGAGTCATTCCTTCAAATGAAGATAAAATTCTTGCAGGTTCAAACCCCAAAGGAGATGACAAGCGAAATTTGACAAAAAAAATAAATAATTAATATTTTTGACTGATTTCAGAATATGGCATATTCTGGTTCAACAAAATAGTATTGGATTGTCGGCATTTCGTACCCAATTTCAACTTTTTATTCCTATCAAAATATTTTCCAGTTTTCTTCTAATTTTCCCCATCCATCAGAAAAGTACCTACTACATCAAATATTGTTGCTGTCATCAACATTTTTCGTTAAAAGGCGCTAGCCTGTAATAATATTTTCATTACTACGACTTTTTCTTTCCATTTTATTCATTCATGTGATTATTATTATTATTATTATTATTATTATTTATTTATTACTCGCAAGGAAAAGCCATGTGAAAAGTATTTAAACTATTTCAGATGGCATAAAAACCTTACTTAGCCTTTTCATATGATGATAAGGCATGATTGCCTTATAAAGATTAATAAAAATAATTTCAATGACAATTTTTCCTGGAGGTTATTTTCTAGAATTTCATTGTAAGCAGAACGAATGGCTGTCACAACTTTATCCAACACCAATATGCTTAAGCTTAAGATTTTATAGAAAAAGTTTCAGACGAGTTTTCGATTCATTTAAGTTATGAAATAAAGTGGAAATTGAAAGAATAAAAAGAATAAAGGCAAAGTGAATGCAGACGCTTATGAAAAGTATTGGAAAGGCTCTTTTGTACACAAAATGGTTTTGGGATGTAATCTTTTCTAGGAATTATTCTTTTGTAAGTTGGAGAACAAAAGCTCTGAAAATTATTTGGAAGTTTGACGATGTTTTGAGCCTTTTGAATCCAGTTGATGCCTCGAAATTGGTTTGAGTCTTTAAAAATATTTATTAAGAATTTAAAGAGATTGTAATTTATAACAGGAACAGATATTTTAGGGTTGAAAGTTTATTAACGCATGATTTAACCGTTACAAAACTAATTCAAATTATTATTCATGAAGCTAACTTCACTATTTATTTTTGAAAATTAAATAACCGTTAAAGAAGAACTTGATGTTCAACATTGCTTGTTCTTCATATTTTAAAATACAGCAACTTAGACAAAGCAATAATTACATCATATTTCTCTTATCATAAAAAAAAGCACTTACCTTAAAAGCCCAAAATGATAAAATGCTCGTTTATGAATTCATTGTTTGCCAAAGACCTTTTAAATGTTTAAAATAAAATTATAAATTTTCTGAGAAAATTTATTGATTTCTTTTTCGTACCCTTTATACTTTATCAGAGTATATTATTAATTAAGATGTAACTCATTCTACTCGATTGGAACCATTAAAATAATTACAATCATAATGATGGTAGAAATTAATTAAAATTATTAAAATATGGAATATTACATAAATTTTGAGAAAATATTAAGAACAAAATCTTGAATGATGAACTTCATAATTATGTGAAATCACTCCACTATAGGGAGAACGACTTCTGCCTATTGAATTTTAACGAGTCATTAATTTTCTTGAGCAATATTTTATTCATTTAAACTTTTTCTCAAGGCAACTAATGTTCCTTAAATTACTTAATGCTTTTACTAACAGAATATGAAACTGGATGAGTGGGTGGAAGCATGTCTTTCTGGCTAAATTGATTCAATTTGTAGATAGAAAAAAAAATCATAAATTGACGGTTTGGATGAATGAGAAAAATTTTGTTTACAGGAAGATGGACAAAATTGATTGCTAGCTGTATGACTGAATACATAGAAGTGTTTATGAAGGTTTTGTTTTGTTGAAGTCATGGTTGATAGGATGATGAATCGACTATATAGGATTATTTTAAGCTATGAATTCTGAGAATTTTCCGAAATGTGAACAATAAACTCAATTTTCAGGCAGGATATTCTGACAAATATCAAGTATAAAATCGAGTTTCCGATCAATCAGATATGCTTCATATACCTTCTAAGTATAGATCCCATGCAGTCAAATTGAAGACTAAATAATTGAAGGTTTGACTGACCAAAAAAATAAAATCATTTAGATATGAATGACTTTCTGTGCTTTACTAATAAACAAATTACTAATTGAATCACAAAATTCAGAGTAATTAGGACACGACTATCTTGACTAATACACAAGTGGGTGACGATTCAATAAATAATTGACTGTGCATACATAATTTGATGATATTAAAAAATGATAAGAACTTATTGTTTTAGTCCTTAATTCAATTTCGAGGAATAACAATCAATTGTGTGTACTTAATATGCGATACGATAAAAAATGTGGGTACATAATACATTAAGTGATCAATCATCGACAAAAATATTATGTCATTAATTATAATATTTTTACTGCCTAATTTTGTGCCACATGGCAACATCATCGTCATTAGAGTTGGATATGCTCATTCCTCTAATTCTTGTTTATTTTCGGTCCTCACGCCCACAGTCGATTCTCATCCTATCCATCTAAGCCATTAAGGGTGGCATATCTATTCATATTTGGATTAATTTTTTATTTATTTACTTTTTTTTTTGAGCTCCCTTCCTTTCCATCTCAAGAAAGATCAAAACATAATATTTTTACAGCAAATATGCCATAATTTAAGTTCGATGCAAGACAGTCTTCTGTGCTGTATCAACAAACGAATTTTTAATTAAATTCAGTTCTGGCTAAACTCCTGTCAAAAAACAATAGAAATACGCTACGGAACTGCGTTGGTGCTTGTCACAATGATTATGGGATGTGTAACTTGGTTTTTAGCTGCTGTATATGTGCTCCTTCTTTTACGGATGTTCGCGAACATTAAACTGAATGTCCTTACATACATTTTATTAGCTTTATTTTCATTCCAGTGCCTTTTTTTCCTGCACTCATACGAATTACGAATTATTTTCATGGCTAGCGGCAGTTGTAAATGAAGGAAAAGTTTAAAAATCCTTTGTGTCCGTTTTAATTTATAATTATAATGAAATTAAACTTTTTCTGTTCCTTTCTTCTTTTTAATTCAAAACAATACAGAGAAACTTAATTGCTGTGCTTCTTTATGGCCATAAATTATTCTTTTAATTTCCTGAAATAATGTATGTGAGTGACTATTGTTGCTGTAATGTGTAGTTGACTTGGGATTGTTAAGAGATTTTTTTTTTTGGATTTATTTTTTGGGGTTTGATCATTATTGCAGTCTTAAATTTACGATTTAAAGGTTCCAGAAGCAACTTTCAAGGGCCTTCATCTCCTAGAAATAGTCAACCTTTGGTTCAAAGATTGTAGATTATATTGCACCGATTTAGATTCTTGAATAGGACCCAAAGTTTCCGTTAAATAAAGTCTTGAAGTTGTGAAAACACTTTTGTAGGTTGAGAGGAAGTCAAATTTCTCTACGAACATTATTTACGAACGAATCTATAAGCTCCCAAACATTTTTTTGTGAAATGAGTCTACAATTTAAAAGGAAAGCCATAAATCCTTTATTCCTAGTAATTGTAAAGATTCATGTCCTATTGTTCTCGGCACGTGAAAAAAGGAATTGAATTTTACTCTTGAAATGAGTGGGAAGTTCTTATGGTAAACGATTTTCAATACAAAGCATGATTTTGTCGCATTTTAAGTAGAGCTAAATGCTTCAAATCCTGTTTCATTTTTTCGATAAAAGCATGTAAACTGGATTATAAATTTTTTTTGGAGTAATAATTATTACGTTTGATGGAAGGTCTAATAACTTTAAGGTTTTCAATCCCGAGATTGAAGCCTTTTCTAATTATGGATTACGGAACTGAAAAAAAGCTGGGACCCTAAATAACTTAAGCTGATGTTATTTTGATCTAAAAGCAGTTTGAACCATAACTGCTTACATGACAATTTTGGGTGCAAGGCAAGACAGTCCATAAGAGGTTGCTCGAAGTTTCTACTTGTGCTATAATATTGCAGAAAATTGAATTCTACTATCAATCAATCCAACCAAAGAATCTAATAAAGCATCATGATCAAAATTTGTAATTTACAATCAAAAGTCCATCATTGCAGCATCAAGACTCCTTTTTAATAAACCTATTTCTATCTTTCAGATATTTACATAAATTGAATATTAATTGCGAATCCAGACTACAGGATACGATTAGGAAGAAAATTGTTCTGTCATTTACTTTCAATGAGGGAAAAATTCATCATTGTCTGGCCCGTCTGCAAAATTTTTCATATGACTTGAGGGAAAATTTAATTTTTTATTGTTCATTGTGCTGTAAAAATTTCACTTTACTTCCATCTTAACCATATTTTCTCCTTGAGCACTAAATTATTGATTCACAGACCATCTGTCATCCAGACTGTAATTAAATTTATGGTTGTTATGCCAATAGTTTTATGGCTTTCCTTTTCTTTTTGACTGTAAAAATTTCATTATAAATTATTGAGACTTACAGACAGATTTTTCTGGATCAAATCTCGTCGAGTTCTCTGTTTGCCAATCAAAAAGTTTCCATAAAATAGAAAACAATAAGAAAATATCAAATCAAAAAATTGGATTCGTTTTTCTTCAATTGATCTTTCATTTCGAAAAGTAATCTAATATAATTTGACTTTTTTTTCGTGTGCCATTTGATTCTCTCGAATTTTATGTTCAAGCACAATAGAACAATTTCATAAGGAACAGTCGGGTATTGGCTTATAAGATACGTGATGAAAAAAAAAGGATTTTGATGTAGAATTTCGTTTCAATCACATAATAACTTGAAAGCTATAGTCGGCAGCACATATTTACTGTTGAAATCCTTCTGCCTTTCATCTTTTTTCCGCTTTCATTGCACTGTATGTATTTAGGTCTTTTTCAGTTACTTCAGTTTCAGCTTTTCATACTTGAAACTCTTATTTTTTTCAATCTTCCTGTGGAGGAAATGAAACTGTGTCAAGGCTCTGGGATAATGCAATTGTTTGTTACTGGATTATGATATCTAGGTTGAATTGTGGATTGAATATGAATAGTTATCATTCTCTATAGAAAATGTTTATTGAAAGCTCTGAAATTAATACTTCTCCCTAGCGAGACTAACCAGCAAATTCCTAGTCTTTCTATTCTACAACTTGCAATTTACTAGTGAATATTAAAACAACTTACTGTTAGTAAATTACACTTGCTATTTACTAGCAAATTACTAGCAAATTACCATGTAAAATGTTTGATCAAATCTGCTTAAGTTCGAATCTTAAGAAAAATCATCAAAAAAAAAAAAGAATTTTTTGCGTCATAAAAAATTTTGTTCTAAATTTGGCATTTGCCATATATTTCACAAGAGCGCGCAGAAATCATCTTTATAAGGTCGATCCAAATTTGTATGTGACTTTCAATTAATTATTTATCTTCCTCAGGTTTGCGTGCGAGTCATGGACGTTCATCAGTATTCGACTTAATTAAATTAAGTCTTTTATTTTTTTTTCATAGTATTAGTGTACTTTAAATAACTTCAAATAAGTACACACTAATACTTTTACAATAATTTACACAAATAAGAAAAATCAAAAGAATACGTGGAAACCAACGGTTATATTCACTTAAATTTTTTAAAAATTTGCTAGTAAATTACTAGTTAAATTGTAAGCGAATTGACTAGTCAATTAGCAAGTGAAAATGCGGGTCTTTGGCGATGATTTGAACTTGGATTTTGACTAGTAAATAGCAAGTAGCAAATGGAAAGTTATCCAGTAAATTACTAGGAAATTACTAGTAAATTTCTGCTAGGATCTGATGCTTCCTATTGTATTTATTAATCCACTTATAATACGAGGAACTGTGCACCATAAAACAACTTCAAAATTATGTAAATTCTTGACTGTAAACAAAAAATCTTTTGCTAAATTAGGAAACATTCAAAATTTTTGCTGTTTCAAATTTCTCTTAAACTAAAATTAAGTTTCTTTCTATTTCTAAGAGTTTTAAACATAAAAAACCTTATTAAATGCCAAATTTATCAATGATGAAAATGTTTACTTATCAATTCAATTGAATTTTGATTCAAATGTTGAGTTTATTTTCTTTTTTTTATTCTAAGAATTTCAAATATCAAATACGCAAATAATTTGTTCAAGAAATCCATTTCGATTAAATCGAGCTTAATGTACACAGTGGCTCTTTTAATTTGAGACTTCTTTAAGCTTTATTAAAGTGATAGTAACAGTCTCTATAATTTTGTAACAGATGCTTTATATAAAAGAACTAGAATTATTTTCCTAAACTCAAAGTTATTTAATAATAACCGAGTTTCAATCAGTTATTTTGATTAAATTGAAATCTTACTTTGTGCTTAAAACCACAAAATTTTACCCTAAATACTTGATTGTAAAATCAATTTATTGATAATTTAATTTAAAGACCACAACAGTAAACATAGCTTGCTTTATTGAAAAATTGAAGAATTTTTGATATTTTAAGGGTTAAAAGATGAATTACAGCTTTTAGGATTCGAGCATTCTTATAAAGAAATTTGTAAATTAAAGCAGTGTTGCAAATGTAGATGTCTACACTAGATGAAGAATGTAGATTCTTCAATAGTTTTTGTCTGAGACAGAAATTTCTTCATAAAGATCGACTCTATATGAAGATAGAAAATCTAATCTACACAAAGATTATTTCTACATAAAGATTCTGTCTACATAAAGATTCGATGTAGATGTCTACAATTCTACATTTTTTCCAGGTCTACATCAGAGAAGAATGTAGAATTGTAGACATCTACATCGAATCTTTATGTAGACAGATTCTTTATGTAGAAATAATCTTTGTGTAGATTAGATTTTTTATCTTCACATAGAATCGATCTTTATGAAGAAATTTCTGTCTCAGAATTTATCTGATCCAGACAAATCGCCAGAATGCAACACTAAATTAAAGTTTAAATTTAGCTTAATTCAATACAGTTCAGCTGAATTCAACAAAGTTCAGCAAAATTCATCACTTCATTTTTTAAAATTTTTGAAGTCATTTTTGTTGTTTAATCTTTTAATGGATACATTATGGAACATTTTATGCGTCTAAAAGTTGTGAGCTGTATGTCAACTAATGCACAGTATAATTACTAAAGTAAATTGTAAGTAATACTTCTCAATATTTCTGACTTATACAATTTCAAAAGAACATCCTACAGAGATAATTCAGCTAAGCTTTCAAAAGAAGATTTCATCTTTAAACCATAGAGCACTGACTCATCTTGCATGCTTAATATCACAAAAGTATATTTGAAGGTCTTTTTTTGTATTCATCCTATAAAAGAGTTTTGATGTGAGGATTGCACTTATTACTAAGAAAGAAAACACTGAATAGAAGTCCAGTGAATAGAGCAGCGAGTTTATTATCCTTTTCAATTACCCTAATAAAGTAACGAAAGACAGAAGTAAACTTATAGAGTTCAAATAAGACAACATTTGTTCTAGTAAACTTTTCGTACTCAAAAACTCAGAAATCTTTTCAAACAAAATAAAATGAAACAAGAAATGGCTTTATATATTGAACTTCAGCTAGATCCAATCTATCTGCGTGTAAATATGCAAAAGAAAGCTGTAAATATTTGATGAAATCATAAATGCTCACAATATTGCCAACATAAATTGTTTGATTGACGAAAGGCATCCCAAAGAATAGACTTCTATAAATTTTCCGTACAGTACAGAATACACAGCTTTGATACGTCCTTAAAAAATTCCAAACATTTCTTTCATTCGTCATTTTTACCTTCCATATAAAATATGTTTGGATTCTCCCTAAAATGGGAATATTCTGGTTTTGTCATAGATGAAATCGGAAAATTCCCAACAGAAAACATTTCAATTTACATTTTTTAATATTTTCACGGTCAGGAACACAATTGCCTTTAAGAAGCCACAAATTACGAAATTTCCAAACATTTGAACTTATTTCGTCACAAAAGTTGCTATCCAAAAGCTTCTGAAGCCATAAAAATGCTTCAATTTTTTCATTCTGTATGTCTTTATTGATGTATTTTGATGTAGCAATAACTGTAAGCAAATGGATATGACAGCATGAGCACTAGAGATAGAGAGATGAAAAGTAAAATGGTGGAAGTGTCATTTGTTCTTACGACAATGTAAATGGACCAGATACATACCAAACACTTCTAATTCCTATTTCATTGCTACATTTATGATATGATGAGACATTTTGCTCAAACAAGTCATAAAATTATCCCGTAGGCGTCATTTTATTCAATTAAACAAAATTGAATTTTCAAAAAAAGAGAGAAGCAACAAAAAGAGTAAAAAAAGCAAAACCTGTACCATATGGAAGTATTTTCACTTCCCCATTCTGTTGAATAATGTGAATGGTTTGGTTAGCTTGTAAGCGATAACATTATTTACCCTCAAAAGAGCTTCAAGTATGAATGTACATTCAACATGAGTAAGCAGAAATTTTTTTGTTTGAAAATAGCACATTATCTGAAGTAACGTGATGATGATGTTATGTATATTGAATTTGGGGCTTCGTGATAGTTTCGCATGCAAGAGTTTATTAGATAAATTTCTAAGAATTTTGAGGAATTGGTGCATTTTTGAGATACCTTGATATTCTTATTCAAGGCAGTTATTTTGATTATTATTATCAATTTGGACTAATAAACACTTTTTTGTTGAAATCAGTTCAGCATTCATATGGCTCAATTCAGCATTTTTATGGCTCAATTCAACAATTTTGTGGCTGAATTCAGCACTTTTATGGATTAGTTGCAGCACTTCTATAGCTTACTTCAGTATTTTTCAGCTGAATTCAGCACTTTTATAAATGACTTTAGCACTCTTCAGCTTGATTCAGTACGTCTTTGCTCAGTTCAACTAGATTAAGCTTTATTCAGCTGAGTTAATCGTAAATAAGAAAAAGTCATTACTTTTCAGCAAAAATTCAGCATAAATATTGACATTCTTATATTAATAAAGTTTAATTATATATTAATTCATTTAAACATCAATCCCAAACCTATCTTTTTCGCTAAAAAGAACTTGAATGAACACAAAAAAATTAAAAAAAAATGAAACAACACAGCGCTGAATTCTGTGAAGAAGTATAGGCAAAAATGAATGTACACAGTAATTTATTTTGTGAAAAATATGAAAATGTTGCTAAAAATATGAAAGATGAGATAACAGAATGATGAGAAGAAGTATATGTACACCCAAAATTTTTTTTTATTAGATTAGGTATTTTCATTTAAAATTTACTTACACTTGAGCAAGGTGAACAAGTAAGCATAGCAATAAAGTACGTAGAAGTGAGTGCAGGAGTGTTTGTATATTTACATAATAAGCTAAACAGAAATTGCTAATACCAACTTTGGCCCTTGATGTATTTTTAACATCCCCGTATCATGGCACGATTAATGCTAAATCGTGATGACGAGTTTAATGGATGTTTGACGAGCCTTTCCACACCATGTACATATATTTTTTAACAAGCGAGATAAAGCTTCACGCAGGGCCTTATTTTGTTCCATTTGAGTCTCTCCATGAGAATTTATGTGCTTTTATGCTTATGGAATCAAATGAGAATGAGAACTGAAAAGATTTTCAATGTCAAGATGGAAAATATTTTATTATTTTATTGCCAATATTACAGCACAGTCTTCTTGGAATTCCCAACCCTTTTTCTGCAGTATAAATTTTAACAGTCTTCAATATTGAGACACATCCGCAAAACTTTAATTTGCTTCCTACAAAAAAACAGAGATTTTTCCACTTGAATGATCTATAAACTTCCAAGAGTCATTATTTTATTAACTTTATGATTCATTCCATTATAGACTTTAAGTTCTCAAAACCACTCCTTTCCTCCCGCTTAACATTCTTTCCTCATTGATAAAAAAAAATCTATACGAGTATGAAAAATTCGCCTTAGGTTACATTTTTTCCTCATAATTTAGCGAAATTTCTTGTTCAACTTTCTCTTTCTTTCTTTCCCTCACCGAAGATGCTGAAAATATTTTTTTAAAGAAACTGTTTACAGAAAGCATCGAAGGAAAAAATATTTTTCTTCTCTAATACGAAATGGATGGTATTTTAAGCACGTTTTTAGAGAGTAATAGTTATGCTTGGCTCAGTTTCGAATGAGTGGATGAGTAAATTTCAAGTTTGGGATTATTATACTTTGAAGTTTAGAAGATTTGGAACGTTAGAATTTGAAAAGTTTTTATTGAGAATTGATTTAAAATTAAATTAAATTTAAATAATTTTTGCTGTAAAAACAATTGATGCGAAATTTTTCGCTTCAAATTTTGCTGAACACATAAAAGATGCAAAATATTTTTCTTCAAATTTTTGCTGATCACATAAAAAATTTAAAACATTTCGCTTCAATTTTTTACTGAACACACAAAAGATGCAAAAATTTTCAAATTTTGCTGGACACATAAAAGATGCAAAATGTTTCGCTTCAATTTTTTACTAAACACACAAAAGATGCAAAAATTTTCAATTCTACTTTTTCACAAAACACATTAAGGATGCAAGAATATATTTCTTAAAATGACACTGAATATGGGGCTGTTCACTTATTACGTAACGCGAAAAAATGACTTCTTAGACCCCCCCTCGTAACAAAATTTGTATGAAAAAAAAAATTCCTTGTTTGAACCGTAACAAAATCTTAGACCCCCTTTCCCCCTAAAAGCGTTACGTAATAAGTGAATGGCCCCTATATTCATTTTATGCGAAATACTGTAAAGTACAAAAGAAATTCAAATAACCAATAAGTATTCGGTATTCATTTCATATAGGCAAATTGCCTATCTCAATCAATTTTCTTAATCGAACCGACAAAAAAAGCGTTTAGTCATTCACTCGTAAAAGCTTTTAAACATCATTGTACATAGTACATCTCTCGCAGAAAGAAAATAAAAGAAACAAGAGAAGAAGAAGAAAATTCTTTTTGACATTCGGCATAACAAATGAGGAAAAATGTAATTTGATGAAGGCTTTTTTTTTGTACACCCACAAATGTACTGTAAAGGAGAAGACAATATTGATCATTATTTTGTGCAGAAGACAAAAAAAAGTTTGAAAAGTCACTTTTTTTTTGTCAAGACAGAAAAAAATTATGTATGCAAACATATTTTCAGTGTGGCCGATGGCAATGAAACGAGATAATGGAAGGAACTTTAAGAAAAAGGGGCTTTAAAGCAACATGAAAAAAGCTTTTTTATGTGTTCAATAACAAATGCAAATCACATATTTTTTAAGTGTTTTTTTTTCGTTCGATTCCCATTTTCTGATATTTTTCATGCATAAAAATCGTCATCTCATTCTCAAAAATGCTGGGATCGGCGAGACATACACATTCCAAACATATATGTAAACATTTCATCCGCATTGATATCCAAGAATGAAACAAGAGGCAAATATGGATGTATTATTGTGGGAAATGCTATGCTTATCTTTTTTTTATGTTTTTGTTGCAAATTTTCAACTATACTTCCTTCTTTTTTGGTATTTCCTATACAGTATTTATTTTTCATTTTATTTCTATTTCTCGTTTTATACATTTGAGACTTTACTTATCATATCCACAAAAAACAAAAAAATTGGCATGAAAATATAAAAGTCTAGGAAGTGAAAAGAAGAATCAAAGGGTGAGAAAAATGAAAGTTGAAAACGGTAGAGTTTGGTTGCATGTTGTGGCGCTTTTTTAGAGCTTTTGAAAATGCCTATGGATTTTGAGGTTTAAAACCCTTAAACATTGATGCAAGACCTATACTCCAACCCATACTGGCATGTAACCTATTCATTACCTCTTAGGGAACCAAAAGTCACCTGCCTATGCCACAACAAGCAGTTCAAAATCACATAAGAAGGAACCATTAGCAATCAACTTTCAAAAAACCACATTCTGACTCTATATACACTCCAAAAGAACCCAACCTTCAAGTAAATCCAATTAATTTTTATTCAATTTCCCTTCTCTTTATTCACTTCAATTATTCAACGACTTCAAGTCCTCAACAGATCTGTGAATATCATATAAAAAAATCCTTTAGCAACAGCAGCACAAAAATGTTTTTTTCATTTAATTCACATGACTGACAAGTGTCTTTCAACTCCAGAAGTTACAGTAATATGCCATATAAAATATTAAAGCTTAAGAAATCAACATGCAAGCTTGTTCCTCACTGTCATTTAATTTTCATAACGCCTGAGTCAGTTTAAAGAGTGCATCCATAAAAAGTGACAATTCATCTTAGGGATTTATCTGTCTGCATTTGAGACCATGCGCTTAAAAGCTGTAAATATTTGACTACATTATGGTGACAAATCTCTGGTTATTCTGGTTGAGTTACCACATGATGATTATGGTGATGATGCTTAACGACTTTTTAAAGAAGAGTTCAAAGACACTATTAATGTTTCATGAGCATGTACTTCTTAGTTCGATGATGTTTTTCGTAATCGAAAATCAATTAAGTTTATCAATACTTGATTAGTTTGCAAATTGCTTGTTTTTCATCCGGCTATAAAAAAGATGTCGAGTCATATTAGTTATCAAGCACTTAAAAGTTTGTTATTTAAAGAAAATAAGCCGGAAAGCTTTATTGTTAAGGAACGGAAGTGGAGCAAATTGAGAGGAAAATATCTAGACTTCAGACTATTTGGGTACTTAAATTGGTTGATTGAAGATTATTGAGCTACAATCTTTAATAATGTTCGAAAAAGGACAATTTGTCCTTTTAAGACTCGAACCCAAGTCAATAAGAATTGCAATTAAGCACAGAAGCAATTAGACCCCCTGCACCCTCAACTAATTCAGAACACATGCTGACTAAAATGATTAAGCAGTAACTGAAATACTTTGTTATGTCTCGGACGCACGTCAGAAAACCTTTTTAAGGCGCTAAAATATTTTTTGCATGTTAAAGCAATTAGATTTTGCATAAAAAGATTGGCAACATTCCAACTTAAAATGTATTTTTTTCTTGCCTATCTTCTGAAACTTTTGTTTTATTCAACAACTTGGAAAGCTAAATTTAGTCAAACTAAGGAATTTTCATTCATCCAAGGCTGAAGGTTTTCCCTCGAAATATGAAGCTACAAGATACTTCTTGGAATTGATAGCCAAAAATTCTCAACAATGTAATACAAAAAAATCAAGGGGGAAACAGCATAATGGGTAACAGTTTTTATGGATCTTCAACAAATTTTTCTCAGATTTCAGCAAATCAAAATACGTCAAAAAGATTCCATTAAAAATTCCTCACCATGTTGTTATCCCCTTAGAAAAATACAGAATACATTGATGTAAATTCAACAATTCGCGTGGGACATTTGGAATATATTTTGACTGTCTCAAGATTTTTTAAAAATACTGCAAAAGTGCTTGAAATATCTCAACATGTTTATTTATTTTACGTCATTCCTTGATAGCCACAAAAGTGCTCTGTTTTGCAGATATGAAAATTTTCTATATTAAAATGAAAATAAATTTTCAATGAGCATCCATTCAAGAAGTTGCAAATAAAATTCAATTTGCAGCTCTAATAGAATTCAAAAATAATAGAATGAAAAGGAGCAAAGAAACTTTCAAAATAGAGAAAAAGTTTTGTTTTCCTAACGTTTAACAGATTGAAATGAATGGTGCTATTCACGTTGAGATTAATTCTATACATGTTCATGAAAGTTAATTGCACACACGAACGTTAATGACATAAACAAGATTTTTTAATTAAGGACAAAATAGAAATCATTCTTTTTTATGAAGGGGATAACAATTTGATGGGAAAAATATTTTTTTGGAAAATTTCTTCCTGGCTTCTCTCCAACTTTCAATTGCTTTGGAAAGCAAGAAGTAAATCAACTTTTCCCATCATGTTGTTATCCCCCTCCTATCTTTATGATTTAAAACAACAAAACTAAAACTTTAAATTTAATTTAATCACAAATTGTTTACTTTTGTCTTTCTCATTTCAGATTCTCGGTATCTTTGCCCCTTTTTATGTATTCTTCTCATGATGTTGATAATGATGATGACAAAGTCCAACAAAAGAATACAACATGAGATTTCTACAGATTGCTGTTCTTGAAGAAACTTCACCTTAAGCTGATTGCATTATATAACGCACGAATATTTATTTATTATTATTTCCTTTACATCATCCTTTACAATCCGCCTTGTGTTTCTTTGTAGTCGTGTCCTTTAACAACGACGACAAAATATAAAAGCACAGCAACGTCGTTTTCAATATCATAATCGTCAACTTTTGCCCTTTTACTTTATTTTCTTCTCATCTCCTTTCCTTCATCGTTACTTGAATCAAATGAGATTTTCATCACATGGCAACGGGAAGAAGCAGAAAAAAGAATAAATTCAAAGTAAGAAAAAAATTTTACTTTTTTAGCTCATTTTCTTGATATCAGTAAGCTTTTCTTTTTGTTGTTTTAAATTGTCTGACTTTTGGTAAAGAGTTGGATCAAATTTAATGTGATTTAAAAAAAATAAGCATCAGTTTAGGATTGAAAACCCTAGAAATAATGAATTCAGCACTATTCAGCAGTTATTCAGCTAAAATTGTGAACAAATCTTTTAGTTTTTAATTAAAGCATCTTTAAAAGTAAACAAACATCTTATAAAAGCATAATAGACTGATCATCTAATAGAAAATGCGCTTAAGCTTCATACATCCGCTTTAATAATAAATTCTTTATTAGATTTTCATGAAAATCATTTCATTTATATTCTTATATATCTCTCTCTTTTCTTTCTATGTCCTTTAATAACACAATACAGTTTAGTGAAAGATCATCATCTTCAGTTCGTGATAGATATTCCAATGACCCTGCATTCACAGAGGATGTAAGACATTTAGCATTACCATCAAGACGCAATTCGGGAACATCAGAAGCAGAAGAATTCAAGATGTTTGGAAAGAAGAAATCCAAGAGTAAGGAAGAGAATTCCAGTCATTATTCTCTTCGTTTGGAGCGTAAGAAGAAGATAACGCAAACAAATAATCATAGTGCTGAATATTTGTGTAAGAATACGAGTAGCTCGGAAAGCATAGATAATATTATTTCGTCATATAAACTAAAAGGACGGAAAGGATTTAGTTTAGATAGAAGTTATGATATGGATGCAAAGCCTCAATCGAAGCCAAAAAGGTCTTCATGGTTTTTGCGTGATAAAAACAGGGATAAACAATCAAAGAGTGAAAAATTTCTGAAACGATCTTCCTTAGACTTTACTGTAACATTTGATACGAAACAACCACTATCGCAGCCACTACCGCAAAATGAGACGAAACCACGAACGAAAGCAAAGACAATTCAAAGGCAAAATGCTGCAGATTATACTGGTGACTCATCAACAACACCACAAGAAGAAGTTCCTGAACCGATTAAAAAGTTAAGTAAATTTCAGATTGGGAAGCGCTTCCTGAAAGGCGAAATTGGCATAAGAAGTTTCAATTATTATTTGCTAAAGGAAGGCTTAAAGAAGAACACAAGCAAACAAAAGCAAGAAAAGCCAGCTTACATGTCGAAAAGCGAAGAGAATATCTATGAAGAGATATTTTTCTATCATGATCAACCAACTCCAAAGCCACAAATGCCACCCGCTTTGCCGCCACTAAACAAGCAAACAACATCGCTTTCAGCATCGTCGTTACATATTAAACAAACGACTGCTCAATCAGAGGATGGAAATTGTTTAGATTGTGAAATATGTATACAGGAGGCTCAAGAGAAACACGTTTTGTGTACCTCACAAAGCTGCGATAAGTGCTTAGAAAGTCATCAGAAACAAAACTTAATGACAAACTCATTATCAGGCAGTGAAGGTTATGCAAAGGTTGTACGAAAAATTAACAATGCCACAATCTATGACTTCTTTCAGCAACAGAATCAAGGTCAAACGGTTTTACATTTTCAATCGTATAACCCAAGTAATCCAAGTATTTATAAAATGGAAACTACACCCGTAGCTTTCGATTATAATCCGCTGGAAGAGCAAATTTATCAGCAACAGCAACAACAAGTACAACATTATGCTCGTGTTGCCTCTCAACAGCAAAAAAGCTTTTCAGGTGATGGAAAAATAACAACAAAATCCTCATCATCGAGTGATTCACTAAAAGGACAAAGACAACGTCAGCATCAGCTAGAGCAACAGCAAGCAAATGAGTTTTATACTCGACCCAATTACTTATATCCACCAAGTAACAATAATAATAACAATGAGACGCAATCAAATCGAACAAAGGAACAAATCCACTCAATTTACAAGACGGACTCATCGAATTCATTGAGGAGTGAAAATTCACTCAATAAAATTTACAATAGTAAAAACAGCAGTCAAAAGAGTAGTCAGAGCAATCACAATAATAATAATAGTAATAATAATAATATTATTAATCGTGACGAAACGCAAATACGGCAGGATATGAGCGACTCAAGTCTCGGTGACTCGCTCTTTTCGAGTGACGCGAATAAACGGTATTTCGGTAGTTCAGAGAGCTGTCGGTTTAATTACGAATGTGGACGCCGTCGGTGCAGTCTCGAGAACGAAAAATGCAGCTTCTCTGATACGTGTCGGTATGAATGTAATTTACGGAACTGTGATTGCTCTTCTTCATACTTTTCATCTGATTTTGATGATACTAATATTTATAATACATCGAATAATAATAATAATAATAACAATAATAATACTAATAATACTGGAAGTGGTAGATCTAATAAATCTCAACATGGCAATAATACTAGTACCCAGCAAATCGTCGATTATGCTTATGCAGATCCAAAGTCTACAGCTATCCACTACGCCGAAGATTTCATTAAGCATGTAAATAATGTGAAACGAAGGAATCAAAACATTCCATTTGATGCCAATAATACTCTAATAAATGCTCAATTGACGGCACAGTCTATTTATGAAGTGCCTAAGGCAAATCCTAAAAGGTTAGACATTGAATCTATCCGAAATAACAATAATGTCATTGAAATATGTGAGAGTCACAAGAGTCATATTACTGGCTATTATATAACATCGAATGAAGATGAAATGACGATAGCAATTAAAGAATCATCTACAGTCGGTAGTATTGGTGATAAAATGATGACGCATACGGATAATAATGCGAAAGGAATGAGTAAAGCTCATTTGACTGGAACAGTACCCAAATCATCTATATCATCTAATGACTCTAAAAAGAGCTCAACACGTTCGAGTCTAAAGCATGTGAAGCAGCAAAAAGAGACGAACCGTAACCACCAAACGAATGACAACAATGAGAATTTGTTGAAAGTGACTCAAGGGAATGAGAACTTGTTAACAAATGAAGGAACCACAACGATAACATCATCATCATCCAATTTCGATATAAAAAATTCTGCAACGGTTGTTGAACATGAACAAAAAGTTTCGGTACAGAACAATACAAAGAATCCTGTGGAAAATGATACTCGAAACATAAATACCAAAAGTGAGCAACCGCAACAACAACAGCTACAGCATCCTCAACCAAAAATCGCAATTGTGGATGAGTATGATGATGATGAGGTTTTTCTAGATAACACGAAGCTCCCGGAAAAATCTTCAACAGATAACAATGACAAAAAAGTTGCCGTAAGTTTAATTGCCATTTCTTATTTTTCTTTTAAAATTCTTGTTATGTCGAGATTCTGTGTCAATGGCTTGGTACATGACTATATTTTCTCCACTCTCCCTTTCTTCTTTTCATAAACGGAACATTGAGAATGCCTCACGGATCAATGTCGTCTGATAAAAAAAAAGAACATTTTGCTCGAAAGCTTCTCTTTCATTAACAGCCCTCAAAAGATTTATATGCTTATTTATTTCTATTCTTTGCGTATTTACACAACATTTAAATGGAAATAACTCGTTTCATGATATTACATAAGGCTATTAAAGTATATTCGTACCGTTCTCATATGTTTGCCCTAGCAGAAATTTAATAGTAATTTCCTAGTAATTTACTGGATAACTTTCCATTTGCTACTAGCTATTTACTAGTCAAAATCCTAGTTTAAATCATCGCCAAAGACCCGCATTTCCACTTGGTAATTGACTAGTCAATTCGCTTACAATTTAACTCTAGTAATTTACTAGCAAATTTGTAAGAAAATTAAATGAATATAACCGTTGATTTCCACGTGTTTTTTTGATTTTTCTTATTTGTGTAAATTATTGTAAAAGTATTAGTGTGTACTTATTTAAAACTAATTAAAGTACACTAATACTATGAAAAAAAATAAGACTTAATTTAATTAAGTCGAATACTGATGAACGTCCATGACTCGCACGCAAACCTGAGGAAGATAAATAATTAATTGAAAGTCACATACAAATGTGGATCGAACTTGTAAAGATGATTTCTGCGCGCTCTTGTGAAGTATATGGGAAATGCCAAATTTAGAACAAAATTTTTTATGACGCAAAAAATTCTTTTTTTTGATGATTTTTCGTAAGATTCGAACTTAAGCAGATTTGATCAAACATTTTACATGGTAATTAGCTAGTAAATAGCAAGTTTAATTTATTAACAGTAAGTTGTTTTAATAATAACTACTAAATTGCAAGTTGAAGAATAGAAATACTAGCAATTTGCTATTTAGTCTCGCTAGGGTTGACTTCATTGGGTTTTGTGAGGGATTTTAGAAAAGCACAAGATTGGTTTGAAGCTACAGAGTATTTTTCCTCCAATCTGAAATCATATTCTAGTTCCAGAAACTCTCAAAACAATCAGTTATTTGAAATTGTCATGTGAACAGAAAATCCTTTTGTATTATATCAACTGACATGTTCGGATTCATGAATATCCGCAAGCGAGTTTTTGTTTGGACTAGTTTTCATTATTAAGATTCTAAACTAGCTCTACCTATTGAATTTCAGACTATAATTAGAATTATTCAATCTAGATTGACACATATTCTATTTCACGGTTTGGATAGATGTGCTGAAATGTTTATAACTCAATATCCGTATGTTTCTTTTTTATTATCTCCTGAGAGGACCAAGACGTGCTTATTTGTCCATGCTACCTAATTATAATTTAAGAGTACAAATATGAAAGATTAAATGTTGATAAATGGACGGAATCTTATATCTTTCATTAAGTGGCAAGCACGAGTGCAATTAAGCCTATGAGTATAATCATTTAGAGCTCTTAATGAGTTCATGACTCTCGTCTAAGGAAATTTATAGGACGAGAATCTCATTTTGTCTTAAATTTGTAGCTATGGTAAGGATAAATGACTTAATTTAAAGATTTTTTTCCCTTTTCAAAGCTGATTTGCTAAATAAACATTTCATTTGGTTCCGTTTGAAGCATCAATGAAGATAAATATAAGTTTCTGTTGAATAATTTAAGCATATTGTTTTCTTCTTCGATTATATGTGCTTGAGAATGGTATTGCGTGAGAATTATTTTTGGTAATATAGTCTTTGTATGCAGAGTATAAGCATTTGATCCTTAAATTATGAAATCAAGTAAATTTTATGGTTCATTGATTTTTGTTGAAGTTTCTCAGGGTTTGGATGAAAATTTTGGGAAATATATTGTAACGGTTTTTTTAATTTAAATTTTTTTGTTCAAATACTCATTTTGAATTTTTGAAAACCGTTATCACCTCATTGAAATCTCATCAAATTTCTTACATTAGATTTATTTTTTAAATGCAAAGTAGTGGAAATAATCTTGCAATTCATACACATCTACAAAGTTACATATTAAACACAAACTTTTAAGCCATTCATGGAAGGCCGAGATCTTTATTTACAGCAATAAATTTCTTCTATACAAAATTGTTTACTGGGTGGAAATGAGAATTAAATCCCTGTTAACTCATTGTCTTGTACTTAATGCTTTCCCATCACTCCTTTTTAACGTAGGCTACGTTTATTGAATTCATACCATTTCCATTCTTCTCGCATTATATTTACTTCTTATTGTTGACGTAGCAACAAAACATCTTTTTGACGTGACATTTTAAATGAAAAGACATTAATTTCATCACGACCAAGGAAATCATTTTTCACTTTTCTGTTCTTTAATTTGCCACTGCTCGGAACGAGGAGAATAATGAAAAATAAAAGTTGAGGGAAAATGTCAAAATCGAATTGTCCTTAAGATATTTATTATGAAAAAGTTTTACATCGAATTTTAATTAGCTAAGCTAATTTTTGTGACATTGGCAGCATGGAGAAAGAAAGCCAATTTAATAATTAAAAGTTTCCAAGTAAATAATAATAAGATTACAATAATTTTCTGAATTCAGATGAGATTCAACAATTTGCTGAATTCAGCTAAGTTAAAATGATCAACCTCAACCCTGCTGCTTATCGACATTTCAATAATCTATTAATGATGTCAAGCCCTCTTTTCTTTCAAATTTAGAAATACAAAAGGTATAAAACCTTTGAAAAATATAAAAATTCGAAACAAAATCTTAACAATATTTTAAGTTATTTTTTAAAATAATGAGAAATGATGGATTATCCCACAGAATCTAAAGCTGAAGAAGGTATTCGAGAAAAGTTTTGTAATCATCTAAATCCGTAACAATAGGAAAATTAGTGGAATAAAAGAAATTTGTTATTCATTCTCACCGAGATTTTTCTTGACGGTTCTTAATTGAAATTTATTTAATTGTATCCTTTTCAATTTTCGTTAATTAAATATAACACGAGTGTTGGTTCTGTCCAGAGGTGCAGTCTGAGTGGCTCGAACCAATTCCTAAGATGTGGAGCTTTCAAGAGCAAAAGATTAAATTTGTAAGGTTTTTTGTAATATCTGATCTCTTGATCTTAGAAACTATAGTTCCATAAAGAGTTTGAGCTCATTGAACTCGACTTCCAAATCTGATTCGCATCCTTCATTTCTTAATCAAATACGACAATTTTCCCCGAACAATAGATTATAAATGAAAAGAAGATTGAAATCAGATTTAAAATTGCTCTTTGTTGTAACAAATATTTACTTACAAATATAAAAATAAGAAGTTCGTAGACATTAAAGGCTGTACCTGTGATTATGTTGCACTAGAATTAAAGCGTTAAGTGGCATAAAGTGTATCTTTTTAAATTCAAGCTGATTAAAGTCCAAATAAAGTGGAAAATTGATATTTAATAAAATTACTAAAAAATTGATCAAAATCTGTCAATTCTCTTCATTGCTAATTAAATTAATTTTAGTGGAAGTTACGTGGGTTTATTTGTGACTGGACAAAATTATGCTTATTCAATGAATAAATGCGATTGTGTCAACAGACAAATAAGTACCTAGAACTGCACTAATTAAGTTACTAACCAAAGATTGCAATCCTCGACGTGATAAGATCCAGTCAAAACATTGTCATACATTTAAACTTAACGGCTTTTTCGGACTCACGTGACTGAAACAAAACGTGACTGTTTAAAGAACCGTTAAAAATACGATAAATTTGAAAACTTCCGTGAAATCCTTGAAAGCAGTCTGATCTAATTTAAATTCTAAACGGCCGTTACAAACGAGATCACTTGAGCATGCATTCTGGACGTAAAGTAAATGCTGCCAGGAAACAGTCACCGAATCAACAGCAGAAAGATGTCACAAATCCAATTAATGGGTACAAAAGTTCAAGCTCCAGCATTATGGACTTCTTTAAAAGTCAGCAAGCTTCCCAGAAACAGCTCAATGAAAGCTTCTCATCAACATCATCTATTGGGACATCTCTAAATGGCACGATCGTTGATCCAATGTCTGAATTGCCTCAAATGATCAGTGTCCTAGAAGCTAGAAAAAAATCATTGGAAGAAAGAAAATCTGAAATTTTATTGATTAAAGATGAGCAAACTAAAAAAGTCTTACTTGATATGATGGATGATATGAAGAATATTATCGAGGATAGTGAGAATATACTGCAGTCTCATAATGTGACTATAAGCAAGCAAAACGAAGACGCTGAAGAAATCCAAGCAAACAGGGAATCTATAAATAATTTGACAATGGGTGTTGGAAATCTCGCAGATGGAATCAATGAGGTGAAGAATCGTGTTCAATCACTAGAAGTAACAAAGAATTGCGCATTTGACAGTCACTTTATTAATATTGTCTTCGTGGATGGAAAAGATGCTGATTGTGTTGAGAAAGGCACTACGGGTCCTAAACAAAAATTTGCTGAAATTCTAAGTGAAATGAAAATTGTGACACCCAAAGATGTAATTGATGCTCACCTGATGACTGCAAACCGATTTGTGAATAGGAAACGTAAGCTGATAAAAATGTTGAGAGCTCGTTTTAATGATCCAGTAACTGCTGGTCGCATATTTTCCCAAGTGATCAATCACAATAAGAGTCTAACTGATGATGGAAAGCAAAATTCAATAAAATATTATGCTGAAATGAGTGCAAGTAAAAATGTCTGGAATTTGAAAAGAATATGCTACGAATTAAAGAACGAGGGGACCTTAGTCAATGTACGCGGTTCTGATCGTGGTATTTTGGTGACCTATAAATTAAAGGATCGAGATAATGATAAGGAAAGCACTAAAACCAGCATTGTAACCACTGAGAAAGATATTGATGACTTGAGGAAATTGTTAAATGTTCAGGATGCTTATATCTC